GGTGGTGGGGGAGTTGGTCACAATTTAATGGTAAAACAGTTTCATCTTGACTAAACACTAAAATCCCTTATATGAGTATCAAGAAATATCTGCAAAAATTATAAACAACGGTATTCTCAATTTTGACACTGCAACAACAAAAATTTGAAATACTGTACTTGAAACTGGGAGTTGGCGCTGGTGGGAGTGCTCAACTCCAGCTGCTGTGACTGCCCCACGGGGATGGTCTCAATCACTTGCAGCATGTCGAACGACGTTTCAGCTACCGTGGTCTTGGAGCCCAGACAGGCCCACCCAGTGCATTCACGCAATCTGAACTTGACGCAGTTGACACTGCGCGTCTCAAATCCGCATTGCATCAGTGACTTGTCCTGCCACCCTTGTTCCACACCTTTCAGTGTCCCTATGGGTGCAATCTACAGGAAAATGAAAGGACAAGGGGAATTACACCACTCTCAAAATAACTTAGGTTATATTCTTCGATTTTTCTTTCAACGAGCGCAATCAGGGGCTACAGTGACTGTCTTTTTGTACATATTATTATGTTCTTTTAACAGATTACGGATGCATATGAATTTCAAAGGACTCTTGTATGTTCAATGGGCTAGCATGAATGAAATGTGTCATTGTGTTAGCTGTTAAATTTTTATTTTTATTTTTTAAAGTAGAAATTAATTTATTAGGAGGAACCTAGAGCCACTTGAACGAGGGTGCTATAGAAGTGATCTTATTATTATTATTATTTTTACATTAAAGGGAGAATCCTTGAATTGACATCAGCACCTAATTTGAAGTTCTGGGCAGCTTATGTAGATCAGAACAAGACATATTCAATATCAGTCTTTAACTCACTCGCTGCCGGGCACTTTTTGGCTTACCGTCCCAAGCATGACAAGTGTTTTGGCATCTATTTAAAAAACAATCATTGTGACCTTAATATTCGCCACTCATCAATGAAACTTGGCATGCAAAATGGCAATAAAACATACTGAATAAAACAAGAAATTTTCCAGATTTCTTGAGCGTTTCTTTTTTAACGATTTATTTCAACTGTGTCACAATTTGTGAAAAAAAACGTTTTAAATGAAATGTTACATTTGTTATTTATTTTTGCACACATATATATATGCCTTTTCCACGGCTGTTAAAATCCCACTTAAAGCCGGTCTGACTTCCCGCGTGAAGGTAATAAATCAGTGTCAGTCGGCTACTCCTACGCTTAACAACTGTGATTATAGCGATGCCCGCCACCGTGCCTGCGTAACTCAGATCCGGTAATTTTCGCATCACTTTTCGTCGCTATTTCTCCTGATCTGATAAACCTAGAAGCCTGTTTAACATCTCATTTTAAAGATCACCTTAAGACAAACAAGACGATCCCACTTTCGCTCCGGAAATCTCACTGTTGTTATAGCATTTACGCATTTTGCAGTACAAGTGTATAGTTAATCTAATGTTGCATTTTAAACTATATTCCATTTTGAAGTTTATTATCTTAAAAGCCAAACTCAGATTTTCACTCAGATTTCTGTGCTTCACTTGAGACAGCAATACTTGAACTATGTGAGCAAGTGTTATTTGTGAGAAGAGAATTTGTGATTTTATATGATTTTTTAAATAAAGGGTACCCCCTCCCCTGTGATTCCCTTGGACGTGATCTTTCATTTCTCTTCTTAAATATCACTTTAATTTTCCAACATTTCTCTTATCGATTTTTTGAGAATACAGAGGATTCGCCTTTTCAAAAGCTGCACAAACTTTCCAGAACACTGTCAGTCAAGCAGAAGGCACAGAAAAGGCGACCCCTGCAGTGTTCTAAATTTGCATCAGACATTCTCATGGCCTTTGATATTAGCATTACAATGGACTCACAGACAGCACATTCAAAAACCATCTGCAAAGCTAGCGAGGACAAGATAAGACATATGGAGTTGTGGGGAGGAACTAAATTGGGAGATTAGACATTTAGAAGGTTGCATGGTACTTTCTGACTCCGAAGAGGAGAGAATTAACTTTCAAAAACAACCAACGGAGAAAGAAGACAGGTTGTCTGAGTTAAAGCATGAATCCCTTAGCCTTAGGGCTGGCCCTATCTCGCTGGCTTGGGACAACACAGCGACAAGCGCCAAAATCCCAAAAATCATTTTTTTTGTTAGTATCGATACCAAAATAGTGGCACACATTGTGTCAAAATATCAAATTCCTACAGTGAATAGAGCCGAAGTTGCAATTCTGCGACAAGAGGTGTATTCCATAAATATTTTGGACCAATACTGCCAGAAGGGCACTTGACGCTGTGTTGCCCCGAGAATTTGCTTTGGTTTGTCCATGAAGACTGAACAATAACACATGTCGCTTTGTTGCCCCAAGATTATTGCTTTCTCTGGGCTGTAAATTAAAAAAACAAATACACTTATCGCAATTTCGCACAGTCCAATTTTTGTTTGCCATGACTTCAACCTTGGCTTTCATAGGCCCAAGAAAGACCTATGTGAAGTTTGTATCGTGCACAGAAACGACAAGGACATCACAGAAGGAAACCAGCAGATCTTTGAAAGTCATATAATAAATAAAGAAACTGCAAGGGCTACCAAAGATGCGGCGAAAAAAGACACTGGACCAACAAAAACAAGCTGTGCTTTTGATCTACAGCAAATACATGTACTCATGTGCCCCCTTGGACAGAGCTCCAGTTTCTTCTATAAACGAAGATTAGGCGTGTACAATCTCACAGTCTATGACCTCAGAAAAAGAGACATATTCTGTTACATGTGAACTGAAAGAGAAGGTCGCTGTGGCTCAAACAAAGTGGCCACATGTTTGTTCTACTACCTTTCAAACCAAAGCTCAGATGGTGTGAAAGACGTGCACACATTTTCTAACACTTGTGCAGGACAAAACCGGAACAGATTTGTGGCCTTTGCTCTCAGCTTTACCCGCTCGAAGCTTCAACTCAATTTGATCACTCACACCTTTCTCGAAAAAGGTCATACAGAGACAGAAAATGACTCGTCAATGCCACAATCAAACGAAAAACTAGGCAAATAGAGACTTACACCCCAGACCAGTGCTTCACTGCGGTGACAATGGCAAGAACGTCCAAACAACTATACCAGGTGAGGAAGATGAGCGGACAGGACTTTATAGACTTCAAGTCCATGGTAGCGTCTCTAAGAAATCTAGCAGTGGATAACTAGGGGGGGGGGGGGGGGAGATTTCATGGAGCAGGGTGACACAAGTCATATGCACAGAAGAAGACCCCGGGGCCCTTCACTTGAAAACACAATACGATGGTCCAACGCAACGCCTCAATTTGAACAGGTGGAAAAGGGTCCATGGGGATGCTGTGGATATGTGCAATGAGCCGTTGATGAAAGGCATTCCGGAGCCAGGCATCCCAGAGTTGAAGAATCGAGATCTGATCAGTCTATGTAAATCTCAATAAATACCTTCAACCTATCATGACTTCTACTCTTCCCTGCTTGTTGGAGGAGAGATTGAAGAAGAACTTTGAGAGATTCAGCTCCTGCTACACCACTGGAAAGCTGGATCGCATGTCTCACCACATAATTGACGCTACTTCATTCCCATTCATGTCGTTATAGGCGTTTGCCAATAATTTTTATTTTGTTCCCCACTTATCGTTTTGCTGTACATCATGAAACTAATCAGTTTTAATATTCTATTTTGCGAACCATGATTCACCACATCTTCGATGATGAACAAGTTTTATTTACTTCCATTTATGTCGTTATTAGCGTCTGCTAGTGCTTTGTTCACAGCTTAACTTGATGTTGTACATCACAAGACTAGATCTATCAATCTTAATCTAATACAGTGAGAAGCATGATCAGTGTTTTAACGCGTTGCATTTGCACAGAGCCAGAATTGATGGAACATGATTCTGTTGTTTTGTCTTTTTTCCTTTAATTCCGATATTCGGTCACTCTTTTGTTTGAGTAAAAACTGCATGTTGGATCATTGATTGATTGATTGATTGATTCATTTATTCATTCGTTCATTCTCAGATCTGCTACTCATTCTGATGTAATCAGGATATCCCTATTTTTCGCCCCAAATCTCAAGCATCTCCATTCTCCCGATTTCGATTACGTGGATCCCGATTTTTTTGTTCCGTCTGTTGTGCGTAGTATCGATTTGGCATTCCGACTTGGGACATTCTCAAGATCTATTTTAGTTTTTGTTTCACTCACAATTCTCCGATGATGGCCTGATAACTTTTCAATTGCGACATTAATTGATTATTCGTAGTTCTACTGTTACTTTCAGAGCAAGCTTTGTCTGAGTTCTGGTTAGTCGGGTTAGCCACCAAGACCCGTCAATCGCGCATTTGCGTCACGTGACATGAGCTCTGCGTGTGTCGGGTACTGTCCGTTGACAGGGTCAACTAAAGTTCATGAACACGGGTTGAAGTGTCTTTTGGGACTTATTGTGGTGGGGGGGGGGGGGAATGTTAGATACGTGGACTAGGAGTGCTTGACGGGAAACTTCAGGATTTAAAAAAAAAATGATGAAACACACAAACACACACACACAGGGCGTATACATGGAAACATTTATGGACACCCCAGGAACATTTATTTTAGTCAGCTTGGCAGTCGCCTCGGTGATTCGTCGTTGATCCCGATTTTTTTCACCAAATCCCGATTCTTTCCCCCTGAGATCCTGATTTTTAGATTTCATAGAGTGGCAGGTCTGATTCATTCATTCATTTATTCATTCACTCACTCACTCATACAGTCATTCATTTAATCATTTATGTATCTAATCATTCATTCATTCAGTCAGTCAGTCATTTGACTATGAATTTGCATTCGTTTATTCACACATTGGTCCTTTCGTGGCTCCATATTGTTTGGGTCTATTGAGTTGTTTCGGTTAAGGTACTGTTTGAAAATTTAATTAAACCTTGATAGTGAATAAAAATATCCTGGGTTTTTAAAAAAATTATTAATAATTTATTGTAACGCAGTACCATCATTCTCGTACATTTCAGTTTTGGAGCAAATCACGTTACGGCCGCATTAACATATCTGAATCTCATGCTTTTATTGTCAGAATTGTGAAAATGAGACCGTTTTTTGTCTCTCCTGCAAAATTGCAATTTGGCGCTTGTCGTAGGGTTGTCCCAAGCCAGCGATCTGTTCTCATTTAGACACCATACTTGACTCACACAACATCACACCGCAGGCATATCACAGCCGCTCTTTCATTAGCAATCACTGCCACAAATACATCATGAGTCGCGTTTATAAAGACCTCACTGCATTTATTGTAAAAGAAATAGTAGAAAATACCCACAGCCAAAACATAAATGACACCGCTTACAGTTCTTAGAGAAAAATTCAGTCAATGAAACAACACATTTAGGGACGTTCACATCCACATTTCACACAGCCAACCAGTGTCAAAAGACAGACTACCACACATTGACACATGCATAAAAACTTACATATCATTATACAGGAGACACTTTAGTGAAAAACACCACATTCTAGAAAACAACTGCATCCCGTGGATACAAACATGTGGGTTTGGTTTGGCTTTACAAGGGGAACAGGGTGGTGAAGGTATCCATGCTTCTGTGGCAAAGCTAGAGAGAAGAGGAGCTGGGATATGCAATATTGAACAGCAGCTGAAAGTTGTAGTGCAATCTCAGCACCTCATGTCAAATCTAGAACTATCATCCCACATGCCTCCGACAAAGAAAAAAAGGTGATACTGCAATCAACTCTTCACTAGTCCAAAACCATGGACTCTTCACTACTCCAAAACCATGGTCTCTCCACAAAAACAACAAAGTGAGTTTTGATATTTGGCCATTTCTGGTGTATTCTATGTGAATTTGAAGAACTGTTCAAGTTTTGTTTGATTCGAATTTTGATTTAAAAATCTACATCCTCCAAGGGCAATGGTAAAATATGAGCCATTTTTGGTACGCTATATATATATTTATCGTTATTTCATACAACTTTGCATCTTTCTCAGTGAGTGCAGAAGTTCCCTCTTGTTCCAAACAGGCAAAATAAAATGACGACAAAGTCACCGATCAGCGTATTTTGCTAGTTTAATTGTCCTAAAAATGAAATGAACAACGCTGTCAGCGGGACACAGGGAATTCCCCTGCCTATGAGCTCATGACCCCGCGACCGGGGTCAGATTACAAGATGCGGCGCCCTGGCTGCCTGAAAACTTAAGTACTGCTTCTAAACAGCCGTGTTTCATGTCAGTTTGAGCACATAAAAAAGGCTTGAATAACAGAAGAACATTGTACATCGATGTTACCTGAAACTCCCCAGGTCTGGCAGTGAGTGAGATAAGGTGGATGACTTTGGATTGGGTGCTTTTAGAAAAGCCATTAAAAAACGTTTACAGACAAAAAAGTCTTCCAAACTACCCTTACCTTTTTGGAATTAACAGCAGTAAACACTTTCAAACTTGGTTTTCCTTTAATAGCTGGGCTTGCTTTGATGCTGATTTTTTCAAAATTCAGATGAGCCGATCTAGTGGTCAGAGAAATAAGCTCCTCTTCAGTGATGGCGCTTAGCTTTCCTTGAGGGTTCTCACCGCGATACATTGCCCCGTACAAAGCAAAGCCTTCACCAAATACTTCCTTCCATGCCTGTAGGAAAAAAGAGCAAGACTTAAGCCCAATTGTCCATCATATATTTTGTTGACATGAGGGTATGAATTGATTGGCCCACTATAACAATGACAGCATGAGAGCCTGCAACCAAAAATCGTTTTGTTTGTTTGATCTGTTGAATAAAAAGCACTCACACTATAAAGGTCATTTAGGGCTGGGGGAAAGTAAGACAGACAGATAGAAACAACAGAGGGAAAGAAAAGAAGTAGGACCTACCAGTTGCGCCGTCCAACCATCTGCCAGAAAAAGTATATGTATCACTGTAAGCCAGGGATGTAAATTACCCAACAAGAAGCTGGATACCTGTTGTAGGACCATTTTATTTGAAGATTCTTGAGTATAGAAAGTATAAAGAACATCCTTTTAAGGGTAAATTTTGAGGAAGTAGGGCCTACAAACATTCATATACAGCACTCACAGCTCTGGCAGTTAAGTCAAAATCAAATACACCACTGCAAAATAAATTAACAAATCTGGTGGTAAATCTAAATGACAAACTAAAAGATGTATTAAACGTACAACTCTGGTGGCTAAGTCTGCATTGTAGAGCTTGGAGCCTTCACTGCGGTCGTTCACGCTGTCGTCATGGTTAAACAGCTTGCCCAGAATTCGCTTCATGTCCTCTTTGTACTTAAGGGGGTAAAGCTGGTGCGAGTGCCACATGAGGTCAATGTCGTAGCATGGTACCAGGAACATGCCTGGACGCTGCTGCTTCAGGTACAGGAACTTCTTGTATCGCTGGAAGGAGTTCTCCAAATACTTCTTGTCTTTGTAGTGGGGAAGTCGCACCTGTAGAGAGATTCTTCTTGTTGGTAACAACCCAAAAGAATCTAACAATAAGAATGCCCCCTCCCCCTTTCCCATACAACAAATGCATTGAAGTCCTAACAGCCTGTTGAATTTGAAATAAAAGGAAGAGTAGGAGAAAAAGGAGGAGGAGAGGGAAGTAGACTGACAACAAAATGTCTGGGGGAAAAAATAAAAATAAAACAATGAACAGAAGTAGCAGTCTGACAAAAAAAGGGAAAACTAGTGGAGACAAATTCCAACAAAGCAGCACCATGAGGCAATCTTTTCACCTGTTCAAAACAAAAGCAAGTAGCTATATCAACATATAACCGTAATCCGAGAGCAGGGAGGAAAATAAATGAAACACAACAACAGAGTTAACCCATTAGGAGAAACAAGTTGGAACTCTATTATAGCATTTTGTTCTCATACTCAAACTCTTCTGCCAAATGCTATCAATCTGATGAGTACCTGAAGATGGCGTTTATAAACTAACATTTTTTACCATTTGCATTCAGACATTCACCCCCCCCCCCCCCCCATGCAACCAACCTTTACATATGGCCTTTTCCAACACAGAGTGGGGGGGCTCTCGTGGCCTAGAGGTTAAGGTGTTGGCCTCTCATTCAAAGGTCCCGGGTTCGAATCCGGGTAGCGACCAAAACATTTTCTTCTCTAAAATTGTCTCCTTTCACCTCCTTTTCTGCTCTCTAGCAATGTTCTGTTGTCTGCTTTCATTTCCACTTCCTGCCCCCATCCCCTCACCTCCTTTGCCCCCTCCTCTGGGCTCCTGACTCTTTCTGCAGCCTTTCTACTGCTACTCCTCGGCCCCACTTACCGCTGTCTTTCTGCCACACCCCTGATCTTCTGGTAGGAAAGATCTACACCTAGCCTTCTCGGACAAGGGCGAAAAATCTCGGAGGGCCCGTGTGCAAGTTGCGCACGTTAAAGATCCCTTGGTGGTCTAAAATCGATAAGAGTAGGCTTCAGCCGCCACCTGGGCAAAATTCAAAATTTCCTACCAACTGAAAATATTAGGTGTGTCCCGCGCGCTCATATGACCTATGCAGTTGCGAGCGCCGTAAACACTTTACAAAAACAAAACAAAAAAACAGTCCAATGTTTGGCTTCTTCGGCCTTTGTAAAATATGTCCTAACCCGTCAGGAAAAAAGAAATGCCTGCTCTATTGGTTCTCAGAGAGAGATCTTACAATTGTGTGTATAGCAATCCATGCAATTTGATGAGAATTTTGTAATATATATAACTACTATATGTTTCACAACAATGTGGAATGAGGTGCTCGTCAATTTTTGGGCATTTGGAGTTTTTGGTTCTTTTCTTAACAGGAGGAGCGACCCTTGAGGACCATTTTCTACGTTTGTTTTCGTTTTAGTTTTAGTAAGAGTTTTACGGCACTTGCAACACAATAAGGTCATACAAACGCCGAAGATTAGATCTGTTTGTTTTAGTAGAGGCTTTACGGTGCTCGCAACTGCATAAGGTCATATGAGCGCCAGAAGATTAGAGGTGTTACAAGAGAGTAACAAACATAAAAAGAAGAAGGGGAGATAAGGACGATAAATGTTTGATAGGAAAGAAGAAGCAAACCACACCAGAGCACCCGCCAACCACCCACCCAAAGATTAGAGGTGTTACAAGAGAGTAACATACACAAAAAAGAAGGAGGGGAGGTAGAGACGATAGATTTTTTATAGGAAAGAAGAAGCAAACCACCCATTGTCTGTCCTCAGAGAAAGTTGCATTTGAAAATAGCAAAAGTTGCAAGAAAAAGTAGCAAAAGTTGCAAGAAAAGTTGCAAGGCGTACGTATAGCTAAAACAATGCCACAGAACTATTGGAATACATTGTATTGTTGCTATGCTCATTGCAATCAAAAGTAACCAATATAGAGTTTTGTTAGATAAAAAATCAAAAGTTAAATGTGAATGTCTACCAAAAAAAAAAATTGCTTGGAGTACAAAAACAGTTTGTCCGCTGACACATGCGTCAGGTCCTTAAACTCTCGCTGACGTTGGGCAGGTGTGGCCGGCGTGGTTTTGGGGCTGTTCAAATAAAATCTTACACTTTGTTTGGGACTGTTTGCCCCCCCCCCCTCCCGCCCTTACACTTTTTTTAACACTTTCCTGCGACACACCCCCCCCCCTCAATCCCGTATATTACGTTATTCGCTTATAATAATAATATGACATTTATATTGCGCAAATCTGTGGTACAATCACTCTTCTATGCGCTTTACTTTTAAATTATTAATTATGGTATTCATGAAAAACATGCATACACATACATGTGACATAATAATTCAATACGCTATAATATTATTGGAACTTTTCCAGAAAAACTTACGGTGTCATTTTACCACTTTAACCGCACCGGTGTAATCAAAATTAGACTAGATCTACTTGACAATGTCACGTAGCCCAGATATCTACCAGTGTATAAAGTGCGAGATGACATATATCGTGCTTGCCGCTCGAGGTCCATTGTATCGCCACAATGCAGTGCTTACCGCTCGATCTTAACTCTAAGTCTAAGTGAATAGTGTAGAGTTACTCTCTTTTTATGCTATTAACAAAAAAGTTACGTTGCCATTTTCCTTGATTATTTTTTTCACCTTACAAAAGTGTAATCTTACATTGGTTAACCCCCCTTTACACTTTAACTTTTACAGGAGTCAAATGACCCCCCCCCCCTTTTTTTTTTCCTGGCATAAGATGATATTATTTGAACGTCCCCTTCCCTTTAGGGGTTTTCTGGATGAATCGATCCATTTGAGATCTACCCTCCTTAGCCTAAGATTTAAAGTCTTTCAGAAATTTGTTTACTAGATCTACCCTGGTGCTACGGAACAAAGCAAGCTAAGTAATCAGACGACCGTGTTTACGATTGATTTACTCTAGCTAGACTAGTCCAAACAAGACTATTGGGTCGGGCTGCTCGCTAGATTGATGGTGCAAAGCAGCTATCATGGCTCAAGTCGATCGCGCCCGACTCGCTGTTTCAAAACAAACACGTTGTTTTCAGACGACGAGTCCGGCGATCATCCCGACCTGACCTGACCCGGCCCGGGTCACTAGGCGGCGGCGGGCACCCGTAGGCTAGTGCAAAGTGTAAAGAATCGAATTGTCCCCCTTGGCGACGTTATTTTTAGTCGTGGAAGAAAATTTCGGTGCTTTTAATGAAATTTTATGATTATTTTTCCGAAATTTGCGGGAAATTGGCTAAAACTAGCGAATTCACGAAAATCGTAAAAGTTGCGCTAACGGCGCGAATTTCTCTGAGGACACCATTGTGTTAGTTACCCAAGATCAAATCCAAGTACACATATAAGTTAGACATAGGAAAATCTTTTGATATGCAATTTTATTTTGGTATAGCTACAGCGGTTGCTATAGAAACAGCCGCCATCTTGAAAATAAACAATGAATTTCAAATTCCTTAGGCTTTCTTATTTACTGACCCAATTTGACCAAATTTGGTGAGAGTATACCTGAACGAGACCCTATCAGTGTAACAGCGAGTTTTTTTCAATAAGTTTTTAAAAAAATTTTTTAAAAAGAGAACTTTCCTAAAGTGTAAAATTTTTTCTCTCCAAATTTCGGTTGCGTAATCGCTTGCAAATGGAAAAGATATATATTTTCTGCAAATATCTCTCTGTTACATTGATGTTTCCTAAAAGTTTCATGTCAAAAGGATAAAAACTAAGGAAGGAGTAGGGGAAAAAATGCAAAAAAATGTCATTTTGCGAAAAACAACAATTATTGTGAAAATTCACTATATTACCCCACCCTCATGATTTCAAAGGCAATTCACGAGGAGAATAAAGACTCTCAATTGTTCCCATGGTATTTTCAGACAAAAACTGGTTGATCTTCAAAAATCAGCCAACATCTCAATGAGCATACACCCTGACCCAAAATCGACAAAATCAAGGGTCGCACCTCCCCTTAAAGCCTGTTCATTTGCCTTGCTTCGCACCTCTCCTTAAAGCCTGTTCGTTTGCCTTGCTTCGCACCTCCCCTTAAAGCCTGTTCGTTTGCCTTGCTTTAGATGAAAAAATACCCATCTTTCTTGAAAAGAAGTTTATAGAAGTTTAGACATGTTCAATTTGGGGGGGGAGAGAATCACTTGGTGTCAGTTTGGGGATTTCGAAAGCTGATGTGTACTTGGAAACTGAATATTATAGTTTTCGTGCTTTTGGTTGACATTTTTCTGTACAATCTAAGCAGGAATGTGTTGTTAAAAGGACATTAAAGGTGTTGAGCCCAAAATAAAAATTTCAATTAAAAAAATTGCCGAAGAGCGGAAACATGTTTATCTCTTTGATTACATTATTTTGACAAGCGCTACGTTCACCACGGTGCCATGCATTCTATACAAAGTTGTCATCGCATTACATTGACTGTTATGCACATATTTGTAAGACCTCTCTCTAAGGACCAGTAGACCAATAAAGCAACCACTTCTTTTTCCTTTCTTCTTTTCTAACACACATCATGCAAAACTGAGTAGTCACAGAGACAGAGAAATTCCAACCACAAGTGATCGCAGAGCTAAGATAACAAAGCAGCATAACTTAGTTAAACTATATTAAAAATACTACCTGATAGAAAAACTCTTTCTGCCTGTCAGCAGCTGCAATGATGTCATACGAAAAATCTGTAGCAGTATTGACAAAATCTTGATTCAGTGGAGCTCCAGGAGAGAGGTCCACTTCAAAGGGCTCATTGGGATACTCAGCCTGCCAGAGTTGTGCGCTTTCATTCAGATGTTTGTTCCGAAGTTTCATCGACCTGTCCAACGAGTGGTCCACAACCACCCCAACCAACTGAGAACAAAATAGGTTCGCATTCCACTCAGTACTTGATACGTATATACCCGTGTGTCGTGTATTTGTGTAGCAGAGTGTGTCCTTATATGCGTGCGCATGTGTATGTGTGTGTGTGTGAAGAGAGTATATATTTCAAGTATGAGTACTATGAGTATCTTTGTCCTTTTTGCAGTGCATAACAATACACCCCCCCTCCCCAACATCCTGTACTCAACACAAGTCAACTGCACACATAACTGATTCCATTTCGGCTGTTCTTTTAAGGATTGACTTTTCTTGGGAAGAATGCTGCCTGCATTTATGACAGCAGACCGGTCTAACAAGAACTTTGCAATAGAGTGCATTGAGAATGCACAATGGAAAGCATGCACTATTAGATATTTTAAATACGTAACCATCATTACTGGAATTACTCCTCAAATTGCAAATCTTTCAATCTGCTCCACATACCATACCTAATGTTCACTTTACACTTCATACATCACTCTAGGTCCTCCTCTGTTCCTCCAAACTCTTAAGTTAATCCCCTGCAATGTAAGTCTCTTCTACTAATCATACCTTTCATTCACTTCACCAAAATCGAATATAATACATCCCTTGTACCACTCCCCCCTAAGTCTCTAAATCCAAGGCACCATACACAGGTATACTTCTCTCAAAAGCTGATCTTACCCTGACACAGTCATCGCAGTACGTCACAGGACAGAGCATGTGACAATGCCACACCCAGGCCACATCTAGAGGGGCTTCCAGGTGTTTTTGCGGATGTTTAGCCGCCAGAGGAAGCCAAAAGAACTGGTATCTGTACAAAGCTTGCTTCAGAACATTTTCTTTCCGTAGACTAAGCTCCGAGTCACAAAGCTCCAGAAACTGCAGTTGATGTAAAGCAGCAGTTGGTAAATCCACGGTGAAAGATAAGCTCTTTGCAGAACTTCTCCTACTCCTGGCGTCAGTCATTTTGAATTCTTCTCCTCAGTTTCTGTCTTCAGAGGTACAGTGCTACAGTCAAAGACTATCTGGAAAACAAAATATATCATATGTGAGGCATCACGGTGAAATCAGGCGCTCGTCAAAATGGTGAAATCAAAGAATTGGCATTTTCCAGCAGTAGGGCAACTTTTTTCTAATTTTCTTTTCTTGGCTTAACACCTGTGTGGATTTGACGGAAAAACGTTGATTAGAGGAATAAAAAATGTCAATTTTCAGTTTCCAAGGACTCTCAAGTCAAGCTATTGAAATTATCAAACTTTTCTCTCTAATTTCACCTCTGAAACAAGGCAACCCTGACCTCCTTCAATTACAAATATTTCGACTTCTATTAAAGATAGAGATGGATGTTTTTTTCACCAAAGCAAGGCAAATTAACAGGCTTTAAGATGACACCAATAACCCCCTGATTTGTACCTTTGACAAATTCTTAAAAATTCTGAGTGCAAAGTTTAAGCCTGCATGGTTGTAAACTTTTGCGGATTTTGTGTGCCAGCTCGCCTCTCCCAAATCTGACCTAGATCGCACGAAAATTATATATCAGGCGATGCTTGATTTCTCGATCCAATTGACCATGATCATCCGATTTTCAATTTTGTGGTTATCTGTAATAATTTGTTCAATGAATGCAAGATCGTCCAATTTTTAAAAAACAATTTATCATATTTTGTGTAACTGGTCCTCTTTAGTCTGGGTTGGCCTTAACAGGCAGTATTTAAAGCAGCCCACTTCCTGAGTGACCAAAATTGTGTCCATAGGCTGTAAAACATATACACAATTTTAACTCTTTCAGTATGCAAGGGATTCCACAATTTTTCACACCCGGTCTGAGGTGAAGCAAGGTGTTATAATATAACCTTAAAACAGCTCTTCAGTCAAATTTTGATGGGTTTTTTTTTGTCTGTGTGAACACTTAACACTTTCCCTACAACGAGATGCATTTTGCGGCTTGAGGACCTGGCCTCGTTGGACCAAGAGCCGCAAAATCGGCTGGAGTGGCTCGCTATCTATTCCAGTCCAGTAATAAAAAGGCGCTAACTTCTCGGCCAATCCACGTTTTCAAAATAATAGAATAGACTTCCTGTTAGCAGATACCAAAGAAAATATAGCACTGAGAGATGATTTTTAGTCATTTCAGCGCTTTTTTTGTCCCCTACGACACGTAAATATAAGAAGAAAAGCGCCCCCCTGACTTCAGTATATGTCTAATATTTTCACTTCTATATTAGGTACACATACACATAACTTTCAGCATTTCTTCGCATTACTTGAGGCAACCTACTTGGGAAGTTTGAATAATGCTGTTGTTGTTGACCTTTCAAAGCTGGAAAATTGTTGATTTCATATATATATATATATGACATTTTCGATATTGCATAAAATCACTTTTAGAACCCCAAAGTAATATAATTGGAATAAATCTTCAATATTGTATCGCCATCTGATAGATTATTTTTTAACCTTCAGTTTGATGGGCCATAAGATATGGTTTGTGCATGTTTAGTTGGATGTTTTGACATTTTCCTTTGGCGGGGTAGGGGTGTAAAAATAGTTCTAGGAAAAGCCCTGGGACAGTGGCGGATTTTGGCCTGGTAGGAAAAGAGTTAAACTATGAAATTTGTAACTGGACAAAGAATCACAGTATGGGTGTAATTTGAAAGGAAAATGTAGCACAGCACTAGATGTAGACCTTGGGGTAGACGTGATTGCCTACCTTCAAAGCATATTTTTAACGAAGTGACTATTTCTCCGAACGTTCGGAGAAATAGTGCCGATCTTTATTTCTCCGAACGGTTTCCGGCTTCCGGTCTCGTGATTTTTTGCCTATTTATTGCGAGAGTTCGGCGCCAACTTTCATTCTGCCTCTGGCTCTGGTCTGGGAAGGAACACCACATGGCAAGCCCGCCTACATACAACCTTCAGTAACACCCACCACACACCCACCACCATCCTGCACATGTACACACACAAACTTATACACACACTAACTAAACATGATCAGTGGGCAACTTTTGAACGTATGACGAGCTGAGTTGTGGATGGAGAGACAGTGAGAGTGACAGAGCGGGTGAAAAGAAGAATTTACGAGTGTATCCACAGGCGACAGCAACTAGGCCTACAAGACGACGACACCGACCCCCCTGGCCTGGTCCACAGCTCACGAACAAAAGGAATGTTGCTAAGGCAGTGTTTTACCTATATTATTGTCCATGGTTCGCAGGGAGCAAGGGAATGAGTGAAATTTTCTTTGTGTGTGCCTGGAGGGAGGGGGTTGTGTGTGAAAGTCATGAGAACGGGGATGAGCCGCGGGAGAGAACACGGGAATTGAATGAATGAGTGAAACTGAAAGAGAGGAACGACTCATGAGCACTGGAGTGAATGTATCCTGTTTTTTATTTTTGTATACTTTGAACTGTTACTGAATAAAGGCTGAAATAAAGCCCGAAAAACACACACACACTCACTCCTCACTCTCCACTTACACGCTTACTACCACACACAGACACACTCACATGCATAGACACACACACATACACACACACACACACACACACACACACACACACACACACACACACACACAGGAGCAAATTTTTGGGTCTATATCTATTTCAATTTTCAAGAGCTACTCTAGAGATTTTTAGATGAGTGTAAAAATGTGAAAAAGAAAGGTTTCACAACAGAATTAAATCAAAATTAGTCGAACAGCCCATAAACAACCACAAAAATTAACAGATAAGGGTGTGTGTCAACCTAGAACCCATAAAAGTGCGTAAATTGTTTTTTTTTTAAAGTACAGGATATTACATGTAAATTATGGAATCACACACATTAAGGGGCCTGCCAGTGTCAGTACATGATGTAATCGGTTTTGGTGGAACGTACGCTCTAACATAAAACATTTAAATATATACATTTATATATATATATATTTAGAATCTAATGAAGGTAGGTACTAGGAACATCAAATTAAATGACGTTACACTATGCAACGTCCCCCCCCCCCCCCCATTTCCCCAACAACAAAAAATTGATAGAAAAACAACACATCAGAACAATAACAAGAAAAAAAGTTACACACTAACAAAACAAAACACCACAAAGAGTCAAAGAGGGAAAAATAAAAGTAACTGTAACGTATTCATCAAATCAACGTGGTGCAACAAGTGAGAAAGAGACTAAGTGAAGCTAAGGGAACTTTCTTTCAAAAGTAAAGAGGTTCGGTTTCTTTCTTTTTTTTTTTAAATTTGACTTTTATTCCCCGACCAAAAAATCGAGCCACGATTGATTGGTCGCGGCAGCGACAAACGCTGAAGCTAGTTCCATGTGTCGTTATCAATAACCCTCCGTAGATCTAGATCTAGACAGCACACGAGTGAACACAACACATTAAGTTTCAGAGCAGCACCCTTCAAAGGCAACACGTCATATCTGTAGCGAAAAACTGTTTGGAACTGTAGTATTTCTTTATATAAATATTTACTGCGGACATTTTTGGACCGATTGAACCATATTGTCATTATTGTATACGAACAATCTTTGGTAGGTCTATACTCTATGTAATATCCGAAATTTGGGGGAAAGGATGTGGTTTCAGAGTGTTCGGAGAAATAGTGCCCAGCTTTATTTTCCCGAACGTTCGGAGAAATAGTGCCTAGCTTTATTTTCCCGAACGTTCGGAGAAATAGTGCCCAGCTTTATTTTCCCGAACGTTCGGAGAAATAGCGCCGGCCTGTTTTTAATGTGTGTGTAAGTGGCCATATTCAGCTAAAATGCGGAACCAAAAGACTGAGTGCTGATCCGGCAACAAAACTTTGACTTTGTACCAGCCAGATCATGTGAAGGACTTCCGTAACAACCGCCCAAAAAAACACAATAAAGAGACCTAAAACCCAAGCTCTAGAGTCTCTTGATAGTGGTCGCTTGTTACAGAAGTCCTCCCAGATCATGCTATGGCTATGCCATGCACAGTAACTGAACAGTTGTTAAAAAGCATCTGTAAGCAGGCTACTCTCAGAAGACGGTACAGCCCAGAAGACAGTCTACCTCTCTGCTTTGGCGTCTTTAGATCTCTCTGAATCTAGATCTAGACTCTAAATCTAGATCTAGATCTATTTAGAGCTAACTAATTTCAATATTTGTATCCTCTTTATCTTCTTTCTTACCACTGGCCCTGGACCAGACCGAGTGCTGCGTCCCCAACAAGACAAAAGTGTGTCTCGTAGGTCGTAGGGGGTTAAACCCATATCCCCCTGAAAACAGTTGAGATCAAGATCAATTTTCTTTCACAACCGGCGTTCATGATAGAGACAGATAGGAAAGGCAGTTCAAGACAAACCACCTTTGCCTTTGCCAAAGCGGAACAAATTCACGGCACGGAGCACAAAAAAAGAAGAAAAGAATCAACATCAAACCCATCAAGAATTCATATCTCTAGATCTAGTCTAGATCTACACCCAGGTCTAGATTTACCTGAAATGAGTAAGTGCTTAGACTTAGAGTAGAGTATATTGATCGACAGCAATCAACGATCTCCGCCAGAGAAAGTCCATCACACTATCCACTCAACAGGTGTAATCTGTCCAGAGATTATGTATTGCAGTATTTTTCTTATTGGGAAGCCATTTTGTCTATTAATAGTATACATCAGTCACATGACAATTTATTATTATAATGCCGTAGCCAATAGAAAAGACTCATTTTTAATGAAATATAAATAAAGTCAATGGAATTTCCTCTGTGTTTTGCAATCATGGAAAATTCCTACAGAAGCGAATTAACTGTGCTTGCCTGCTACAACAATAACAATAATTCCATTTATATAGAGCATATCCACGCTGCAGCAGGGATCTCGAGGGGTGGAAACCTTTTCAGACTAGATCTAGAATCTACATGACATATTATAGGATGACATTATAATAGATATCTAGGCGAATATATCGGATCTCAAAGATATGCAGGCCTGCATGCCGGCCGCTACATTATTATAATAGGCCGAACAAAACAGAAAATGAAACCGATGTCACAAAGACAAAAATTTGGATCATGTAAAACTACATTGTTGGATCTATTACAATGACAATAATTAATATATATATATATATATATATATATATATTATAAACACGACTCCTACGTATACCCCCAAAAGCAAGCAAACAAACTGAACTTCTGTCATGACCCCCAAAAAGCAAAATCATAAGAGACACGCATGGTGAATTCAGTACTATAGCCTAGTTGTCGGGGGATATTCCACGCTCTTCAACACGGATGTAGGGTTGCGTGCTATTCGACGAACACTTAAGTTATTTAAATTAGGCCTAATTTAAGTGCGGATCGGTGTCGAATAGAATCTACAGACAGCGACGAGAACGTCGTTAAGGTGATAATCCATGCGGGACGGCAGCGGGACGATAAAAATCGCTCCAACTCCAACAGAAATATCAATGTCTGAATCCATAAGTGCGGGACTGCAGCGGTACGGCAGCGGTACGATAAAATCGCACCCAGGAGCGATTCTGCCGCTGCCGCAGCTCTGCCGCAGACAAAAATATGTGGCGGAATAGGGTTGACTGTGAAGAATCTCTGTGTGATTTACGCAGTCAATTCATTTGACACGGAAAACTTGCTGAAACCATTGCACCCCTATGTCGTCGTTCATCCACCCATTTTCTTGATATGCCCAAAAGGTGCCTTCTGGGCTGTCCTGAATGGCAAAGGAATGGATGGACCTGTTCGTTTTGCTAGTGACAAAAGATCAAGATAATCATCATCAGCAGTATTCGTACTTGTTTCATTAACCTAGACAGTTTTGACTGGGAAGGTGCCATGCTCCTCAAAACAAAAAAAGGCGCCAACATGCCTTCCCCTATTGAATTTGCCACTTGCAATATCGCACATTTCGTACCGCTGCCGTTCCGCTGCCGCACATATGGATTTAATGTGACTTGTGGTACCACACATATCGTCCCGCTGCTGTGCCGCTGCCACTGCCGTCCCGCACATATGGATTGCTACCTTTAGTCTAGACATGTTATTCTGTGGGCGGCAACCAGTACTTTGCATGTACTTAGGTAGATGACGTTTTTTGTTTGACAGTCTAAGTCAGGGGCGGACTGGCCCTAAAACCGGCCCAAAGCATGTGTCATCTGTACCGGCCCACCAAGGCCTTGTAAAACATTGTAAAACACGCAGAACCAACATGTTTCTTAGCCTCCATACTATTATTATGTTACTAGTTAGAGCACAGAAACAGAGGAAAACACCCATATTGTATTTGTGTGTGTTTGGATGTGTGCATATGTGTGCGCAGGTATGTGTGTGTGTGTGTGTGTGTGTGTGTGTGTGTACGTGCGAGTGTAATGTCTGTCTGTCTGTCTGTCTGTCTGTCTGTCTGTCTGTCTGTCTGTCTGTCTGTCTGTCTGTCTGTCTGTCAGTAGGTAGGTAGGTAGGTAGCTAGGTCGGTAGGTAGGTAGGTCGGTATGTATGTATGTATGTATGTATGTATGTATGTATGTATGTATGTATGTATGTATGTATGTATGTATGTATGTATGTATGTATGTATGTATGTATGAGTGTATGTATGTATGAGTGTATGTGTGTATGTGTCAGCCCCAACGCATTATTTGAGGTCAAGATTCAACCCTTGCATAACTTCGGAAACAATCGGCACAAAAGCTTCGCCGATAGTTTCTTCCCACTTCACAAGGCACCAGTCTTTCTTGTATGTTGTCAGTTTTGTCCACATATCGAACGACAATGGAGCACTGGCCCTGTGTTGCTATGGCCTGCGTTGTATCAATTTTCACAGCAAACATGTCTGTTATTTCTTACGAAATGAAGCAACGGATTTTATCCCGAATAACCGTGATGATAGAATTCAAAGTATTTTTGGACAAAAAGTAACAAATGAGCCTCTGCCTTTCGAACTGTTTGCCTTCTCATGTTTTTGTCTTGCTGCTATGGACTACGCGAGAGAGGTGATCAGCTGTGCAAGAATCATATTTGCGTAGCAACGTAACAATTTCCAGGAAAGTACTATGGTCAATTTCTGCATTGTCCAAAGTGTAGGCTGCCTCTTCTGTACTTCCTCTGTAGCTTAGTCCCCTCTTGGCTATGAGTTTAACTACATCCACAACTCGATTCATCACTCGCCGTTTCTTTCTGACTTGACCACAGTAGTCCTTCGCCAACACGTGAGAAATGCTTGATTGTTTTTTATTTTATCTACCAGGTATGCCGTTGAGCATTGCAGATGCAAAGACGAACGTTCATGCTGTTCAATACGAGAAAGTACATGCCGCCAGTCTTTCCTCCCCTCAAGAAATGCGGATGTGTCTGAAGCGGTAGAAAACACTAAGCAGACAGAACAGTGAAGTGAATGGAAGTTTGTGTTGTAAAACAGTCACCATCTGTTAGAACCGTTTTCAACAATGAAACATCTTTGCACCACTCGATTATCTGTCTTCTGACATGGATGGTGATTCCAAAACAACAACCTTTCTTCTTTGGTGCATGGTTTCTTAAAGTAGTCAATCCTGAAAGCTTCACCTCCTGTGGCTTCAAGTTCAGTATGTGCAGTTGATAGATCAGCAGCAGCTGCCAATCCACTACTTTCGTCCACTTATTTAAAATCCGTTGTTTCAACTGCTGAAGGTCCAGCTGCATGTGCCAGTATACTACCTTCTGCCACACTTTTACCGATAACAGGTCCCTTTGCATCAGCGCTTTTGAACAGATGCAAAATATTTCGACATTTGGATGCACTTTCAGATCTTTCGATCACGTTCCTTCTCCGCACCTCCTGTTCTTCTTGTGTGGTTTGATTTATCCATAACCACTTATCCATTCAGGCCTACAAACAAGGGTAGATACGAGTAGCCTACCCGTGATGAAAAAAACCCAATTACGAATTGACATTATTGACAAAATATATAAACAATTTTTTCCCCACTCAACGACAAAAAAGACCATGATCAATCTAGAAAAGTCATAAATATTTGTAAGTTTTAAAACGTTTTCTTTTCTTAAAAAAAAAAAAGAAAGATTTCTTCAACATTGAAGAAAAAGGAGTACTGGTCTTATAAACACAGTAATCTGAAGACATTTTTTCTAACCATGCGACCCGCTTTGTCCTTTCAGCACGGGACAACTTTTTCCCTTCGGCACCGGCCCACTTTGTCCCTTCGGCAGCGGTCCAGGGGGCATTGCCCAAATGCTCAGGCCAGTCCGCCCCTGGTATATTTTTTTTTGGCCAGAGGGTTTA